TGTGTGGAAAGATCTGAAATGGTCCGCGAGCCGTGAACGTTCTTGATCGTCGTATTAAACGTAACTGGAAATGATCAAGATCAGTTCTAATGCAGTCCGCATTTCCGGCTCGAGTTGAACACAGAACGGTCACATCATCACAAAGATTATGTCCAAGCCGGTACAAATGTTCAGTTGTAATTTTTTAATCCATGTTTCATTCGTATCGGAAATCTCTAAATCTTGATAAATGCCGCAGGAAATTACTTTGTAGCGAGACGGTTCCAGTCTGTATGAGTGAAAATGCTGGGTAGATTGTTCTCCCACGGTACGGCACGATACGTCACAATATTGGGGCGGAGTTTAAGATTTAGTCTTTTGAAGTCTCCTGCCGCCCGGTCAGTGGGTGGGGCTCCCGGCCTGCGCCGTGGTTTCGAGATTGTGGCGTCTATATAAGGGTATTGGGGTCAAAGTTGAGCCATATTTGCAAGCAGACGACAACCAAAACACTCGCAATCTTTTACCCCGGGAAGACCCGGCGACTACGAAGTCATCGCACCCACACATATCCTTCCACACAGCATACTAATAAAGGCATCAATAAAATAATATTTACACTCAGTTACTTGTATTCTTGACGAAACGAAACATGTTATTATATGCGTATTGGAATATGCACATCCCTCGTCGTCAATACCATAATATCGCTCAATAGATGAAATTAACAAATTCAACTACTTATTGACTTCTGGTAATCCCTGCATTGGAAATAAGAAACTGTCATCACTAGATTCTAACGAACTTGTATAATCTACTTGCAATTGATTGTCTACTTAGAACATATTAGTTTCAACTTTGCTAGATTCGATTTACAAGTCACATGAGTTAGACGCTGTAAAATGCTAGTGTTCGGCAATAAAGTCATGATTGTTTTGTACATACAACAGCGATCGATGCCGACTTCCATCTTCAGGAGTTGGGGCCTTGTTGCCCTAGAAAAAAAATACAGATCTTTTACCCACAAGCATTCTGATACACTTATTGACGGAGTTACTAGAGTACATTAATCTGCATCTTGATGCTTTCATTAATTAATACAATGCATAACAGAAAAAATACCTGCATCTGAAAAGCACAGCTTTTTTTAAGTTTGAATCATGACAAAGTAGTCTGTGTAACGCAAATTTCAAACTCTGCCGTCGGAAGGGGGCCGCGGATTTCAGTGGCCTCTCCCATCGCCGCCGACAAACATCCTATTTGTATAGTACATGTATTTCCAAAATAATCATGTGCAACTCAAACTTTTATGGTTCGACTCCTTGGTTCTAGTAACACTAACAGACCCCGCCGGTGGGGAAATGGATACTGTTTGGCAAGTTTATACTGCCTAACGATTTCCTTACCCCCCACCGAAAGGTCGCCCCGAGGTAACTCTATCTGGACCCCAGGCAACTCTTTTACTACTCTCCAAGTAGAGGTTTGGGTTTGGGCTTATTTTTGGCATGTTTTTATTTTCTATTTTTTATATTATCGGGGTATCTTTTTTACGCCTAAGTACACGCGTACGCCCCAAGTATTTGCCACCCAAATGGATACTGTCTGATTCCTACTGCTTTTGCGGTCACCGAAACATCTGCTTGGAGATTAGGCCCCATCAACCTCTGCTTGGAGAATAAGCTGGTACACACACATGACACACGCAGCCTTTCTTTTTCAAAACAAATCTTTTCCACTAAAGATACAGAAACAACAAATCCACATAACAATGTATCGGGTCATTGGGAACATATTACTCTCGTGATATTTAAAGATAGGCAATTTAGTTCTTCAAAATGGATTTATGAATCCAGATGTTCTATCGTTACAGACAGTAACATAC